GCCTGCCTTATGTGAAGGGGTTATCAGAGAAAATACAAAGGATCTGCGGTCCATATAACATCAGGACAACCTTCAAAAAGCTTGACGACACTTCGCAGATATCTCTCCTAAGTAAGACCCCCATATAGAGAAACATGACTAAAGACTGTGTGTACGCTATCCCATGCAGTTGCGGAAAGGAATATAAAGGAGAGACAGGCCGCCCCCTCAAGGTAAGGCTTCAAGAACACCAGAAAGCTGTAACACAAGGGGAAGAAGAAAAATCAGGCGTGGCTGACCACATATGGAGAGAAAGGAGATCACCGCCCCTGTGGGATCATGTTGAGATCATAGACAAAGAACACCATTGGAAAATTCGTAAACTTAAGGAATCAGCACATATGCTAGGCCACAAAAAAATCTCCTGAGCCGACCAAGCATAGAAATAAATACAATATGGGAACCAGTAATAAGGAGTGCCAGAGAAAAGCAATGAATAACAAAGTAATTGCAATATGAACTCTGGTAAAAACATGCAATGATAACAGCAAAAAAATTGCAATATGAGCACTGGTAAAAATGATGCTGAAAACATTAGGTTTATAATACTCAGAAATTCATACCCAGATGTCCTCAAGGACATGGCACAGTGGATAAAGGCGTTGGTTAGATCCAGTGACAGACCCAAAGAAGGTGAGTTCAATTCCTGGTTAAGGCAGTGGAGAACTTTCAGAGGGAAAATTAGCAGGAGATAACTGATAACTGACATCCATCAAACATGGCACGTGGAACTAGAACAGTCTACCCCAGTGATCGAAATAAAGGGTTCAGTTCGAAATTCCAACCACCTGAAGAAGGCCGGAGCGTACAACGGCCGAAACGTTGTGACAAATATGGCGACAAAGATGAGGACAATAGTCCGAAATAATGTAAATAAATACTGTGAGATAGAATTTATTTCTATATATTTTATGAAACATTAAAATATATTTAAAATTTTATAATATCAATGAAATTATTTCAATTGACATTGATATTATAAACCGCAAACAAAATTTATTTTTTTTTATATTGATATAGATGTTTTCTAAAAAATATGGAAACAAAATTGTATTCTTTTAATTTTTGTCTTCAAAAAAAAATGAAATTTCAAATTTTTTTCTGCAAAAAAAAAAAAAATGTAAAAATGTGTCATTTGAAAATTTTAAAAACAATTTATTTTTTTTTTTTTAAATTGTTTTTTTATATGAAATTATTCTATGAACTCATTGAAGGGATTTTTGTAAATAAATTTCTTTCATTTTTTGGAAAGATAATTTTGTTTCTTTTTTATATTTTCATCTTTTAAAAGGCTTCATCTATTTAAAATATTTGTTTGTTTTTTTTTTTTTTAACTTTTTTCAGTTAAATTCATGATTAAAAAATTACGTTAAATCTCTTTTATGGATTTTTAAAGAAAATTTTTTATAAAAAAAAGAATTTGAAAATTATAAAACAATAATAAATTTTAATAATAATTTTTAATATTATTATCATAAAAATGATGAATGAAAAGATTAGTACAAAAAAAAAAAAATTTTTTTAAATTTTTAGAACATTTATACAAGTTTAAAACACGAATTGAAACAAAAGGAATAAATAATGAAATAAAAAATAAAAAATTAATTTTCAAATTTTTCAAAAAAATAAAATTGTATTTTTTTTTAAATAATTTGATATTTTGATGATGATGATGGTTGATGATGATGATGATTAAAAAAAAATTTAAGAAAAATTTTATTTTAAAATGAAAATTTTTTTTTTATTTTGTAAAATATTCAATGAAAATAAAAAGAAATAAAAAATTAAAAATTTTACTTTCTATTTTCAAAAATGTCCAATTGCATTTAAGATTTATCAAAAAATAAAAATTTAAAAGTTTCCAAGCTGAAAAAAAAAATGTGAAAATGATGAAAAAAGAATTTAAAAAAATTTTTAAGAATATAAGAAAAGAAAATTTTTATATTAAAAATAAAAGAAGAAAATAAAAAAATTTAAAAAAAAAAACAAAATTAAAAAATTTAAAATTTTTAAAAAAATTAAAATAAAATAAATCAAAAGGAATGATATTTGAGCGTAAAATTCTCTGCTATTAAAATTTGTTTGAAAGTGAAATTTTAAAAGATGTTGATAGATTTTTTTTCCATCAAAAAACAAAATTCTGAAATCTTTATAAAACTTTTTATTTAAAAATATATATTATTTTTTTTAGATTTGAATTTTGGCGAATGAATTATTTCCTATTAAATTGAAAATGTTTTATTTTTTCACTTTATTTTATATTTTCTGATACGTTCTGCCTGAAAAAAATCTCATTATTTAATGATTCATGGCTTTAAAATCCTTTTTTGTGCTATTTTAAAATTTTTTTTCATTCAAGGCATAATATTTGTATCGAAACCCGAAAACAAAAAAAATAATAAGAATTTTATGTGTTTATACTTGTCTCCATGTGATACCATACATATGGACAATTTAATGGAAAATAAATTAGTCTGTTATGGTTGTATATATATTTTATGTTGAAAATAAATTAAAAATTCAATTCCCCAGGACTGGTCAAACTCTCTGTCCGGGCAGATATTTCCCCCATGATATTTTTATTCTTTTGTGTCGAAATATATTATCTTGTCTGGGAAATAACTTATAATAAATTTTTTTTATTGGTCTGCAAAATTTTGTTGAAATTAAATTCAAATTTAATCAAAATATAAACTCATTAAATGCCAAACATTGATCATAATTATTTTTTGTTTGTTTTCACTCCATTTTTCGTTTTTTTTTCAAATTTGAAGTTTGTGTGGTCAAATATTCTGCCTTTAAGAATTTTTATCCCCATTTTACTAGAGGCATTTCTGCATTCGATTTAAAAGAGAAAAAAATTTTTTCTGGTTAAATTTTAATTGACCCTTTTTTTAAAGGATTTTGACCAGTGAATTTGAAAGAGAAAATAAGTCTACGGTCTCGGATACTCCTTTTTGGGATTGAAAAAAAAATCGGCGTTGTGCCACATCCGACCGGTTTATGGTTATTAATTTAAAAAATATTTTCATTTGGATTTTAAATTGTTTCACCTTTTTATCCAAAATTTTGTTATAAACTATTACTATTATTTGAGTTAAATAAACTCCGCTTATGAATGTTTCTTTTATTTCCTGTTATATATATATCGTTCCATTTCCAAAAAATAATTTTGATGTTCTTATTCTTTTAACCTTTTCCTTGGAAACATTAAAAAAAATCTCATTTTTGTCTATATATTAATATGAGGTAAATTTGTTTTTATTTATTCGGATATTATTTAGTTCATTTTTGCCATTATCCAAAATGTTTAAATAAAAAAATGCTTTCAAAAAAAGGTTACTGATTTTTTTATAATTTTATTTATTTCAATAATTTAATTTTTTGATAAATTATTTGTAGTTCCAAAATTCAAATTATCTTCCGGATAAAAATCTCAAAAAAAAATTTTTAAAAATTGGGGTTCTCCAAGTTTAAAATTAATGGTTCAACAATTTAATTGAATAATTTTATAATTCAAATTAAATTTGAACTTTAAAGTTAACATAAAAATCAAAAAATGAAAAGAAATTTATTCATTGGGTTGTATACCCTTTAAAGGTGTTTTGATTTTTTTATTTTTTTATTTTTAGGAAATAAATATAAAAATTTTTCTTTTTTTTTTTTACCAAAATGTTATTTTTTAAAGAAATATTGCAATTTTTGTTGTTATTTTTGAGATTTTAAGACAATAATATTTTTGTTCCCAAATTGTATTTAATTATATGAAACATGATTGAAAAAACAAAGTTTGTGTGTTATTTTTTAATAGTAAGTAAACAAATAGAAAATGAGTTAGAAACAAAAAAAAAAATAGAATATACTGCTGTGAATGTTGGACAATTTCCCACAGATGAAACAGAAGAGAAATTTTCATTTAAAATTATGGTTCTAAAGTTGAAATATGCTGATAAAAAATGGATGGATAATGTGATTAACGAGGAAGTTTGAATCAAATGGAAAAAATTTGTTGAAAATTTTTAGAATGAAAAAGAGTTTTTTGAAAAAATGTTAATTATTTATTAATGAGGAAAATTTTCGGATAAATATTTGTTTTCATTTGACATACTGAAAATTAAGATAAAGAAAGAAAGAAAAAATTATAGAAAAAAAAAAAAATTTTGATTAATAAGAATTAAATACAGGATAAATTGAAAGGGACAAACATCGCTTATAGCCCCCAAAAATATAGGACAAAACAAAGACAATGATCACCCACCCTGGAAGGACACGGCATATAGTTTAATCAGCAACATATCACACAAAAAATGTAATAAAAAATAAATCAAACATTTTGTATATAATAAAAGAAAAAAATATTTTTTTTTTTTGAAAGCATTTTGGAACAAGGTTAAAAAAAAAAAAAAAAAAAAATGAAAAAAGAATAGAAAAGAGAAAAAATTAAAAAAATTTTTAAAGGAAAAAAGGGGTAAAAAAAAAAGAAATTAAGAAAAAAAAAAAAAAAAGGAAGGATTTAAAAAAAAAAAAAATAGAAAATATATAAAACAAAAATTTTTTCAAAAAAAAAAAAAAAAAAGAAATCCAAAAAAAAAAAAGAAAAAAAATTAAATAAAGAGATGAGAAACATTAAAACAAAAAATTGAAAAAGGAAAAAAATTTGAAAAAAATTTTTTTTTCCTTTAAGAAAATATTTTTGAAAAAAAAAATTAAATTTTATTAAAGAGAGAAAATACAAAACAAAATTTTTGAATTTTCACTTTTGAAAAAAAAAAAGAAAGAAAATAAAAAAGCTTTTTTTCCCCTTTTTCATGAGAAACATTAAAATAGCAAATATTGGGGAAATTTTTTTTTTGAAAAAAAAAAAAAAAAAAAAAAGATGGAAAAAAAAGAAAGAAAAAGAAAGAAATTTTTAGAACAAAATTTAAAATTAAAGAAAGAAAATATAAAAAAAAAAAAATTGATTAAAAAAAGAAAAAAAAAAAAGAAATAAAGAAGATGAAAAAAAAAGAAAAGAGATTCAAAACATTAAAGAAAAAAAAAAATTTCTTGGAAAAAAAAAAAAAGGAAGAAGAAAGAAAGAAAGAAAGAAAAAAAAAAAAAAAAAAAAAAAGAAAAGGATAAATTTTAGAAAAAAAAGAAAAAAGAAAATAAAAAAAAGGAGGAAGAAAAAAAAGAAAAAAAAAAAAAGAAAGAAAGAGAAGAGAAGAGCAAAATAAAAGAGATGAAAACATTAAAAAAAAAAAAGGAAAAAAAAAAAAAGAAAAGAAAAAAAGAAAGATTTTCTTCCACTTGTATACAAAACAAAGGAGGAAAGAAAGAAAAAAAGAAAGCAAGAAAGAAAGAAAAGAAAAGAAAAAAGAATAAAGAAAATCCAGAAAGAAAATTAAAAAAAGCAAGGGGGGGAACGGATAGAAAAAAAAGAAAAGCAAAATATAACATATAAAATTAAAAAAAAAAAGGAAAAAGAAAGAAAGGAAAACAAAATATGGTATACAAAGCAAGGGAGGAAAAAGGAAAGAAAGAAAAGCAATATATAATAAAGAGCAAAAGAGAGCATACAAAGCTAAAGACGAAGAAAAAGAAAGAAAGAAAGAAAGAAAGAAAGAAGGAAGGAAAAAGAAAAAGAAAATATAGCATACAAAGAAAGAAAGAAAGCTAAGTAAAAGAAGAAATTCAAAGAAAGAAGAAAAAAAGAAATAAAATGGAAGGTGGAGTAATAAAAAAAATGAACGAAATGGGAAAAAGCCAAAAAAAACAAAACAAAAAAACGAATAAAACGCCTTAACGGACAGATGAATGAATTCGTGTTTGTCAAAGATAACAGGATTCTGTATTGTTCTAGTTAAAAGACAACATATCAAATGCTGTTTTTCTCAGCATGCAGACACTCCCTACTGTGAAGAATGCAGCAACGCAATATTCTGCATCTCTCATTTGGACTTTGTACCATATTGAGCTAAGCCTAATAAATAACACAATATCTCTCTCTATAATTGACCTTGTGCCATACTGAATAAAAAACACATTATCTAATCATTTCGTGTACTCTTGTACCGTAGTAAACGCAGCTTAACAAATACCATGAACAGAAGAAGAAGAAGAAGAAGAAGAAGAAGAAGAAGAAGAAGAAGTCACAAGTAACTGTAGGGGAGGGTGATATGTTTTTGAAGAGAGGAATTTATTACTATTTTTTTTTTTTTTTTTGATATTGTGCACTATCAGTTTTTCTACCGAGCCCCATTTTGAAAAGAATGGCAATCATCCTACATCCGGGTCTTTGACGCCTAGGTTCCAACTTGCAGTAATTTAACGCTGCCTTCTGCTGAAAATGGTCTTTGCGATCCATTGAAGAACCGACTTCACCCGCCACGCCAACAACCCCGGCCGGCTGTTAATAGCAACCACATTTGACAAAGCTAACCAACCCACGTCGTTCCTCGTCGCATTGAACGAATAGTGAATGCGATGCAAAACGAGTCTCCCCTTAAAATACCATAAAAATTCAGCTGAAGTATACGGTAGCCCAGTAGATGCCAAATAATAATAATAATAATAACACCACCAATAATAATAATAATAATAATAATAATAACACCAACAACAAAGTTTTTCGAAAGAGAAAGTGGAATTTTGAAGTAGCGCAAATATTTCTTTCTCGCCTCCGTTTTTGTTTTGTTTTTTTTTTGGGGGGAGACGGGGGGAGTGCCTTGGCATTGATCATGAAATTGACATTTCTCGATCTTTCTGAATGAAGGCGTACAGACAATACATCTCCCGAAATATACTAGCAGAGAAAGCGACTTTTACAAAACTATTCTCTATTGTAATGGGGCCAATCTTCACCGGGAACACTACACTATTGACCTTGTTCCAGACAAAAATCGGTTCTGTTAATAATACTTGCAAGAAGTTTAATTCACCCCAGTTGTTCCACTGCGATGATGTTCTACCATTCTCTACATGCGACGTGTGAAAGCATGCGCGATACCCTGCCCTCGGCAGCCGCCAACCAGGGGAGGTAACACAATTTCGGTGGCTAAGGCGGTACTGCCACCCCTGGCGCCACCAGCAACTTTTGCCACCGGACAGGGTATTGTTTTTGTATACGTGTCAGTCTCTTGCGATTTCTTTTTACAACTACAACTGAAATACACAACACGCTCGTAGCAGCCGTTGTGAATGACGTAGTATGCAAAGTAAACATGTGTTTAGCTTCCATTACCATTATCATAATAAACCCAACTTTCTGAAAGTTAACTTAAAATTTAATTATTATTGTTATTGAATGCACTGCATTAAAAGCCTTGTACCAGATTGGATATTTATAAAAAATACTAGAATTTTTTTTTAGCTGAGTGGTTTAAACATTAACTTTCCGACCAAATAACCGGGGTTCGAATCTCATCATGGTCAATTTGTCAGGGAGGTAAATTTCTGTTGTTGTTTGTCTGGTGTGTGGGGCGATTCCAGCTTCAGGCCCACTTGGGAAGTCTGGTCAACTCAAATTTTGTGAGTGACTGTGGATATATGAAACTGGTCTGAATCTGTCACTGTTTGTGGCCGAGGGTTTAAGTGCACTGGTAACACTTTGTTCTGTTATAGACAAGCGTATGGTTGCAAGAAAGAAATACGACAACAGCAGAAATAGATTTACGTGGTTTATTTCAACAGGAACGTGTGGGTTTGGGACAGCTACCTTGTGGTAAAGTTCATAAGCCGGCTTCGTATCTAGGTCAATCTCTCATAGTAGTTCACACATATTGACGGTGGTTGACGCTCCCCTGCTGTCAGCAGCTGAACCTGACCGTGACAGGTCTCTTCCTGGCCACCTGTTGACTGCCTGTTGAACTTCCGTGTGACCCCTTTTATAGCGTTTTTTTTATGGCTTAACAGGCTCGAAAAAACGAAGCGAGTATAATTAGGAGGGAAGCATTTTTATTGGACGAAAAAATAGAAACACTTTAAATATTATTTTATTTTTCAACCGGAACACGTGTGTCGGGAACATTTGTAAAGAAAGATAATGGTCATTTTGTAACGGAGCTTTGTCCCGTTTACATCCGGTTCTCGCTCTTGAGTATTTGCCTGTAAATCAGCCGTGATATGCCTTATTTTATAACAGTTCAAATACTGATCATTCCAGATTATGCGTTCTCTCCCAGAAACACTAACAAAGGCAAACTCAGCGTAGTTGCAGTATAAACAAGAGATTCACCCTGTGGGTGAGGAAGAAATACAGATAACCTTAAGCACGTATTAGAAAGCCACTCTTGCAGACAGGCATATAAGGATATGGGCGAGCAGCCATATTATACTATACGTAGATTAGTTTATATCGAGCAAATCATTTAATTCAGGTTTTTCATATTGGCCTTCAAACAAAAAAAAAAGTAGTCCCTAAGTCTTTGCATATTCTCAGCATTAGAAGCTCTCCTAACTGCGTTTGATCAAGGTTTTCATTTGAACATGCCATTCTTTTTTTTCGCTGCAGTCCATTTTTTTTATTGCAATCTGGTCCACTTTGAGTGGACATTTCTTTTTGGGGGCATTGATATGCTGCTGTAAATTAACCATAGGCAACAATAAACTTTTTTTAAACTCAAAACTGATCGTTGCAAAATTTAATTAAAACTTGCTTAATGAAAAACATATTTAAACTTCCATTTAATTAAGTCCACATTTTAAAAGTTCACTTTAATTCTTCTGCCATGTATTCATTTAAAAGACAATTTGATGTACAAAGGTCCTTACTTTCCGTACAGACAATTATTTTTATTTTACGGGTGACTTTCGCTGGATTTCGCAATTAATTTCGATTATTCCAAAATTTATTTCCAAGTTATAAAAATTGTCATCGTACAAAAGAATTCGTCGCAAAAAATCACATAAAAAATTTCTTTAACACTGAAAGATAGAGAGTTGTCCATTTAATTGAAAAAGTGTGACACAGTGACACACTGACATCGGTATTTATTATATATTATATAGAAAATAAGATGATCTATTGAGAGTTATGTCCCTTTAATTGAAAATGCGTGACACAGTGACACTGTCATTGGCATTTATTAGATAGATTATAAAACTTAAAGGCTCCATTTTATTAGCATACGCTAAATATATATGAAAGCAATATATTTGTGTTTTAAATAAATTCCAATTGTCTTTGGGAAGAATCATTCATTCTTTAAAATGCCAAGGCCACTTCAGAACGTTGGTAATCATAGCTCTCCATGGAATCCTTTAATTTATTCTCTGTGAAATGCTATGACCTCTTGTATAAGATAAGTGGAGTGAGTGCTTTCTCGTTGAATTCTACGCTTTTCAGTTATCTTTCTCCTAGTCTGGTTCCCAACCAAGGCTAAAGAGCACAATATGTCCTTCTATTTAACCAATAGTTGGTGGATAGTAGAAGAGACGTATTTATGTCTTTCCCATGTAGTTTTTGTTTCCATTTTCTTCGTCGTTGCTCACATATTTGATCCATAATATTCTCAGCATCCTTCTGTGGAACTATATTTTTCTTGCTTCAAGTTTCTTCTTCCTCTGTGATGAGGTTTTCTAGCAGTCACTGTTATATAGGAGGATTGTTATTACATAACAGTTCAATACTCTTTTTTTTCTTTCTAGCGAATATTTTCTATTTCGTAATATGTTGCTTAGCTTTCGGAAGCCATCTTTCGTAATCCCAACGCACCTTTTCAGTGAGTGTCACACTTTCTGTTAAACTACTTCCCAGGTGTTTAAATTGCTGTACCTGGTTAGATTTTAGTATCTCCTATTTGTAATTTAAGTTGTTGGGCTGTTCCTTTTGCTAACAACCAATCATTCTGTCTTCTTGCAATCGATGATTAGTCCTTTATTATCGCTTTCCCACAATACCTTCTGAACTTTTCTTTCTGTGTCTGCTGTCAATACTGTGTCATCTGCATACCTCATGTTGTTAAGATTGTGAAAATTTAATGAATTTGATGAAGATATGCCAATGAAAAAAGAATCCTTCACTGTATTTGGAAAATATGTCCAATGAGAAGACACATCCTTGTTCTTACACTCTGCAAATAACTACTCTATATGTCTGGTAAATTAATGAACAAAAAAAAATATTCAAATCTTTTTCAATTTTCAGGTTCTAGAGGTTTCCTTTTTTCACAAGATTTATATTTATACGACAAGGGCTTTTTATGAATCGTCTGAAATGTGGTTACTGACTCAGTTTGTTCTTAGCCTCGTTCTTTCTTTCATATAGATGATACTCATTGTATAACCAGTCTTTGATCATTAACTGATGAATTTTTTTTGCCGTTCAGTTGGAAAGAATGCAGGGGTAACAATTTTTTGTATAAACACTGAAAATTTTTTGTATAAAAATATATAATATTAAAGTAATAATTTAAACTTTTATTTCTGTCTATATTTTTAATGAGGTATTTTAAATTTACATTATTCGGACTATTGTCCTCACAGAATTTTTTTAATATCTATCACAATGTTTCATAATTGTACAAAGGCCTTCTTCAAGGTTAACTGGAAATGTCGAATTGAACCCTTTAAAAGCAATGTTAACAACAAAATTGCAATATGGGCAACATGTAAAAATGGTTGGCTGAAATACATTGGGTTTATAATAGAAGAAATTCATACCCAGATGTCCGCAAGGACACAAAGATGCCAATAAAAAGGTGATGGATAAAGGCGTTTGTTAGATCCAGTGATAGGACCCAAAATTGTGAGTTCAATACACGGGTTTTAAAATAGGAGAACTTTCAAAGGAGATAACCAATGACTGACATCCATCAAACAAACAGGCCGAAAACGTTAGTTGTAGATAAGGAAGGAAAGATGAGGATCATTAGTCCGAATAATGTATTTATTTTATTAAGTTTTTATAAAATATATATCCAAGAATAGATAGTAAATATAAAATCGTTGCTGAGAGTTATAATGGACAGGAAAAAATGGACAGCCATTGTCGCCAACAATTTGGACTCAAAAATTGGTACTGAAGAATTATCATATCAAACAAAAAAAAAAAAAATCATCAAAATCGGATGAAAATCAAAAAAGAAATGCATAAAAAAAAGAATTTATCACACATTACGCATTTACATACATATTTTGTTATTCTTCATTAGAATATAGATGTATGAGGTCCAACTCATAAATGCCTTCTCTGTTATCTATATAGATCATTTTTCTTAGATAAATGATTAAAAATGGCTTCAAGCAGATGAATCATTGAAGTTTTAATGAAGAGGTAAAAGTGATTAGATTGCTAAAATAATTCAAAGTAGTTTTACCAATTTCTAAAGTCATATCAATTTCTTCCAAGCACAACAGGTCCAATTG